GCTAGCAAAATGAAGTAAGGCATCAAATTTGTTGTACGGTATCAAATTTGTTAAGCAAAGTTAATCAGAAGCGAAGCCAGCTAACAGAAATGAAAAAAAAAAGGTGCCAATTTTTTATCCGGTAAACTTTCTCACTGCACTCTAGGAGTGGCAGCGTTCGAAATGAGACGGTAATGCTCAACAAACACCAAAGACATCAGGAAACAACTAGAGCTCTGACTAGCGCTTTCGACGGGAAAAGTGACGAAAAGGTAATCCTGCAGGAGATGAAATGTACAACAGGATAATCGTCAGCACTGCCCAAAGCAATTAGCACAAGATGCATGGCTAAACAAAACAGATTACAATGGTTTAATCCAAATATTATAAGCCCTAAAGTCTCAAAATTTGAAAAACCGGCTCTGGAGAATTAATGAAATAGCCCCAAAAATAGCTCGAAGAAGGCTCACCTTGGTAAAATCGAAATCCGTAAGCGGCGAGTAAAAAAAGGTTTTTTGAGCAAAAATCGTGTTCGATTCTTCCGCACTAACAGCAGCTGGCTAGAAATCAATCGGAAACTTATTACTTTCTACTGGTCATGAATTTCTCTCAAAAAAAGGAAAAAATGTGGAGAGTGAGAGATGTTGCTTGCTTTATTAACTGCAGATATTCACATATCAGTGAGTGGTTCTCGCTAGAAGCGAGATTAGTTCAGCACCCTTGGAGAATTTGGCACTCTTACATAGAACAGGTGGCAGATACAAAAGCGGATATATATAAATTTAGGATAAATAAGCTTGGAGTAACTGTATCCAACGTATAAGTGATAACCAGTAACAATGGATCTACAAATTGGCAGCCCAAGCGACTTCGATGATACCTAAGCTCTGAAAATTTCAGAGATCGGCAAACAGTAAAAGCTCAGATCCTTACTTATCTTCCCAAAAAATACGATGGAACTAGAAAATCCAATAAGTTATGAAGAAACAACCACTTGAGGAAGTGCTGAGCGGATTACTTCATATTATCTAAGCTTTTAGCTTTTGAGGTAAGGCTCTGATTGATCTTAAATGTTGCAGTCAGACCGCATCAATTTCTCCCTCTCCGTCCCCTCCTCCTTCCCCCCCCCCCCCCCCCCCCCCCCCCCCC